TATTTTCATTCATTAGATATGTTTAGGCAACGCCAAATAGTCGTGGAGGTCATCAGATTCGTAAACCTTAAACAGCACGAAAATGTTACACAAACGTTCCCGCCAAACAAGTAAAAAAAATTGAAAAAAAAAATAATATATCGCGCTAATTGTTCTAATAGTTTGTATTTAATTATACTGAAAATATTAAGCTTATTTCCATCGACTGAACAGAAAGCTGAAAATAAATCCTTTGTCTTCAGCCACTGGTGGATGTGGATTGGGATTCTAAATAAAAATAAAATAATAAAAGCTGTTTTGGTTTTCACACGCAAGAGGCACGTTAAACAGAAAATGTTCCCCGTTTGGCAGGTGTCAGCTATTGTACACAAAAGGAGTTACACGTGACTTCTGTCTGTAAGCTTTGCACTCACAATGCATATAGTTCTGGAGCGATTTTCCCAGACGGATCATTTCTCGTATGTGAAAAGTTAGACGAATAGATATGAGCACTTGAAATCATGTACAGTTAAATTATAATTACTAGAAATACCCGTGAAAATTTCAGTTTTCCTATTTAATTTTTTTGATTAATCTTAATTCTTCCGTTAATGACTGAATAAGCTCATGGTGAGTTCTACGACAATAAAATATCCATAAAAATTCCCCTATCGCATTGTTAAATGTTTGAGCTTAACAACGTAGATTCTTTTGTTTTCATTCATTAGATATGTTTAGGCAACGCCAAATAATGGTGGAGATCATCAGATTCGTAACCCTTAAACAGCGCGAAAATGTTACACGAACGTGCCTGTCAAACAAGTAAAAAAACGCGAAAGTTAACTTTTTAAAGGATATTTTTTACTAGAAATATCCTGGAAAATTTCACGATTTTCCTATTTCAATTTTCTGATGAATCTTAATTCTTAAGTTAATGACTGAATATGCTCATGGTGAGTTCTACGACGATACAATATCCGTAGAAATTCGTCTATCGCATCGTTAAATATTTGAGATTTTAATTAGTCAATTTCAAATCTTTTCATTTGTATCACCTTACTTGTTTAAATAACGATCAGCTTTTATATTCGGAATTTCATTCTTATTTTACATTTTTGACGAAGAGATCAGTTTTATTATTATGGGGCAAAATGTTCGACTATCCGCACAAATGATTTTATTAGAGATTTCTTAAAGACCAGGCACAAATTTTATAAGAGACCAGGAAAAGAAAAATGGTGCAAAGTGCTACACAGCTTCATTAAACAATCATTCTTTAGGGCTGCATATGTGACCTGTTTGTCTTCTTCTTCTTCTTCTTCTTCTTCTTCTTCTTCTTCTCTCTTTCTTCTTCTCTCTTTCTTCTTCTTTTTCCTCTTCTTTCTACTCCGTTTCTCTTTCTTCTTCTTCTTCTTCTTCTTCTCTCTTTCTTCTTCTCTCTTTCTTCTTTTTCCTCTTCTTTCTACTCCGTTTCTCTTTCTTCTTCTTCTTCTTCTTCTTCTCTCTTTCTTCTTCTCTCTTTCTTCTTTTTCCTCTTCTTTCTACTCCGTTTCTCTTTCTTCTTCTTCTTCTTCTTCTTTAGGCTGTGCCCTTTAAGGACCGCGTACGATCATGGTTCTCCACAATTTCCTGTACTCTTATTAGCTCTTATTAAAGTTTGTTTCTTTGCTATTTCTCCTAATCCATGTTCTGTCAAACATTTTCACAATCTCGCTCTGTAGATTATTTTCTGTTTTCCTTTGTCTCTCTCTTGCCTTCAACTTGTCCTGTAAGTGTTAGATTTTCTAAACCCTCTTTCCTCATTTTGTGCCACTGAAATTTCAACTGCCTCTTTCTGATATTATGTATAAGTGTCCTTTTTGATTCCATTTTCTCTAAAACTTCGTCGTTGCTCACATATTCAATTCATGTTATCCTCAGCATCCTTCTGCAGAACGACAGATCTGTGCCTCAAGTCTCTCCTTCAATTTATCCAGTATTTATGAGAACCTTTGTTGCATAACAATTTGGTATATATTTTTTTTGTTTGTTTATAACGAAATTTTCCTGTTTCCTAATACTTTGCTTAGCTTTTGGGAGGCATATTTCGTTATTCCAGTGCGTGTCCAGATGCTGGTGTCGTATTTTCCATATTCTGTTAAAATACCTAGATATTTAAAGTTTTTAAAATTTTGGTATCTCCAATTTGGGCTCTTCCATTGGCTGACAACTATACATTCTGTCTTCTTACAGATTATCTTTAGTCCTTTCTTCTCGCTTTCTTCTGTAGGAGTTCCTGTAGTTTCCTCTCTGTTCTTGATATCAACACAGTGTCCTCTGCATATCTAATGTTGTTAAAATTTTGGCCGCTTATAATGAATCTTGGTAGGACTTCTAATGCTCTCAGAATCAACTCGCTGTATATCTATATTTATTATATAGATATACAATGAGTTGATTCTGAGAAAATGCCGATGTCAGTGTGTCAACGTGTCATTATTTTTCAACTTTGCTCCTAGAAGCCGTAGCCTAACATGTCATACTATTCTGGAATCAGGCAAACTCCATGAGAAAATTAAAAACATTCCAGGCTGGATCCAGACCCGCAATCCTGAAATTTTGGATTCCCAAGTTTTCATTACTGCGATAGTTTTCGGCAATTTTTTGCGTGATTTTTTGCGACAAATTTTTTGTACGATAACAATTTTTATACCTTGGAAATAAATTTAGGAATAATCGAAATTAATTGGGGAAGTCATCCATGAAATAAGAATAATTCATTGTACATCAAATTGTCATTAAATTAAGTGGTGGCAGAAGCATTATCGTTGAACTTTTAAAAGGTAAGCTTAGATATTAGTGCAATACTTAAATGCAGCGATCAATTTTGAGTTCTTCTGTAGTTTGCTGTTGCCTATTGCATCTATACCTCACTAACTATTGTGATGAAAGCTCAATCAAAAGCCCTCCGCTCGAGCTAGTTTAAATGCCGCCCGAAAGAGAGGCTTCTAAACTAGTTTTAAATAAGTCCGGTGAGAAGACACATCCTTGTCTTACGCTCCTTTCTTTTTTTTTTTGTGAATTAATTTTCTATCCGTATGCAGGCGGCTGGCTCCCAGTATAAGTTCTGGAGAATTCCAATACCCTTGTTAAATAAATCAAGTTTACATAGTTGTGATAATATACATAGCAGTGTTACCGAGAATTGTTTGTAGATATTTAAATCGGCTAAATACAGGGTGCGATGGATAAATTGTCACAATTTTATATTTGTAATTTTACACATACGCGCTGTTTGTATTGGATTTTGTCGACTGCTCAGTATAGTAAAATCAGTTGGGCTCTGTTAGTGTGAAAAAGAGCACCATGAAGCAATTCAGAAATTTGGAAACGTCATGCTGTACTGCTTTGTATTCGCGTCGGAAGCCCCAGTACGAACATTTCAGTGTGTTTAGGTGTCAACCTGAGGACAGTACAGAGGATTCAGAAAGAGTTGGATGACTCTAATGGTGATTACGAAGGTGTTTTGAGTGATCGCTAGTGAAGGCGACGTTATGCCTCCATTCATCTTCCCACAGGACCTCAGAGTCAACACGGAGGCCTACATCAAGTACTTTGAGGAAGTAGTCATACCCTTGCTCAAGTTGGTAGCTGCTGGAAAAAATCTTTGTGTTGGTGAAAGCTACCACTCTCCCTGCCTTCAGTTCATCTTCGTAACTATTTTGAAATTCAAGAGCTTTGAACAATCTATCTATCTATCTATCTATCTAGGGGTTGTTAACAGTTTGATTGGGGGGGCTGAAAAGGGCCGTTTTTGCGTTCTCAATCTTGTTTCAGCCTCAGGCGCAGCAGCAGTTTCTCCTCGGCCGTTGAGTCCTTTGATCATCATTTTCAGCCTCGCGCGCAGAAGCGTTCGGGTGAAAACTATGGAAACGCATAAACAACATCCGATCACACACACACACACACGCACGCACACACACACGCGCACACACGCACACACATATACATACACACACATGTTGAGAATTATAGATATAGATAATATTGTAATAATTTAAACTATTTATTTTTATTAAAGTTTTTATGAAATATATGTATCCACGAACAGATAGTAAATAGTAAAACGTTGATGAGAGTTATAATGCACAGGAAGTAGTGGAGAGCCATTGTCGCCAACAATTTGGACTCAAAACCAGCACTGAAGAATTATCTATCAAACAAAAAAAAATTTCATCGAAATCTGATGAAAACTGTGGAAATCCATAAACAACATCCGATCACACACACACACATATTTATGAATTATAGATTATTATTATTATTATTATTATTATTATTTTCTTAGATCCATGATTATTCGAAATAAATCTTCGTTCACCAAATGCAATAATGTGCACACGTATTTGTAGGAACAATCTGCTCGGAAATGATCCAGCCAAGCCATTATGAATACCGCGACTTCATATAAATCAACGACCAATCAAGCATGTGCGAACAGAAACTCTCCCGAGTAGTTACTCAATCAGTCGTGAGATTCCTCTGAGTGAGCTTCTGTATTGTGCGATCGTCCTATCCATATTGAATATGCATCTATGAAACTTGGACATTTCACCATTCGAGAGATTAAAAATGGTTATCGGTGATGATCCGGTGAGCAAATCCAAGATCAAAAGTTCGGCGCTGACATTAAAAACTTGGCTTGTAGGTTAGTTGAAATCGATCTACGTTCTGAAAGTCATTTAACACACAGAACACCCGAAAAATGTTGAACGTGTGCGGGTTCCAATCTTCAGAATTCGTCGATAGACAGTGCGAGAATTTGATGAAGATATGGGGATGATCGCATGAAGTGTTTGCAAATTATATTTATTTTGAAACCTCAATTGCCCGTTCTTTGCGTGTGTTTTTTAAAACAAAAAACAAAACAAACAAAAAACAAAACAAACAAAAACTCGTACCATCCAGGTTTGTCAGCTCCTCTCTTTACAGTTCAAATTTCGTTCTCTGTTATTCTAGCATTTCCCAGGGATGAGATAAAATCATCGTTGACAGGAAAATGATTTCAAACGTGACGTGGCAGATGAGGACGAAGAATGTTTCGTACTGAGATCATATAGGCCATCAAACAGGTAAGTATGTAGATGTACCTTAATTGAGAGAGTAAATGAAAACAGGGAATTTGTCTTATTTACTGAAAAAATGGCGGAAAAAATCCCCAAAGAGGAAACATGAAGACTATATTGAAAAGAAGATGAGACACTGGAATGAATAAACGAAATCCCGAGTCTCTCCAGCCTTTTCAGTAAATTAACAGGCTGGATCATTTTCAGACAGACTATGTATGTTTGACGTGTGTGTGTGTGTGTGTGTGTGTGTGATCGATAGAGACACTGAAAGACAAAGAAAGGCAAATAACAAGCAAGAGAGAGAGAGAGAGAGAGAAAAGAGAATAAACAGAAAAGTGAGAAAGAGAAATAGAATGACAGAGAGGGAGATAGATAGATAGATAGATAGATAGATAGATAGAGAGAGAGAGAGAGGGGGAGAGAGACAGAGAGAGAGAGACAGAGAGAGAGAGAGACAGAGAGAGAGAGAGAATGACAGGAAGAGAGAAGTAGAAAGAGACCCACTTAATAAGGGAGATAAGCAAATAATAAGAAAGAGCGAGAGAAAGAGACAAAGAAAGAAAAAAGGTAATGAATAGAAAGTGGCGAAAGTGAAGTCGAATAACGAAGAAAGAGAGACAGAGGAAGAGAGATGGAGAAAGTTACAGACTGTATAAGAGACAGAAAAAGAGAGAAAGAGAGAAAGAAAAAAGGAGAACGAACAGAAAGGAGGGAAACAGAAACAGAATGCGAGAGCGGGGGGGGGAATGAAGAGATGAAGAGAGCGTACAGTAAGTAAAGGAAAAAAGGAAAGTGAAAAACAGAAAGATGAATATATCGAATTTAATGACATTTAAGATGGACAGGTAAAATTAAAGTACGATTACAGCGAAAATATAAAAAAAACGAGTAAAAGTTAAGAGAATAAAGAATACTTGGTGGCTGACATAGTTGCGTATTTCCCATAGGCGGCAATTGTTAGTATTCTAGACCAGGCACATGACATGATTTCGAATGCCGATTCTCAAGACATCTTGATAATTCCCCGTCATCTTGAAGTTTGACGGAGCCCAAAATTCATTTAGCCATTATTCTTTTTTAAATTTTGTTCATCCTGTACAATGCCCAGGAGCAACTCGAAGTAGAGTGTTACAGAAAAAGAGAGGTAGCACCCCAAAGCAAGGTGATAAAGCCACCGAGACGAAGACCAGAGAGGTGTGTAAACAAGACGATAGGCAAACCTATCTACTCCTATTGAGGAAAAAGAATGTAAATAAATAGTAAATAAAAGTTAAGTTTTAGGCAGAGACGTTTGTAGAATTAAAGTAGACTTTATAAGGAACCAGAAACCCAATCATAACTAGAAAACAATAGATAAACGTCTATTCCTGTTTAAAAGACATCGAACTATGCCAAATTTAGTAAAGATCTGTAGTAGGCTGTATGATTATTGTGATATTTTGTGAGGCAAAATGCATGTCATCTCTCTCTCTCTCTCTCTCTATATATATATATATATATATAGGGTGTATCAAAAATACATTGACATTGGGGGCGCGTTCATCACATCAAAACATGGGCAAAAGTCCATATAAAAATATGTCGGCAAATCCTTGGATTTTGATTTATTAAGTTTGACGTTTACGGTAGCTGCTGTTAAATGTAAAATCCAAAATCCGATGCAAAAATACATTTACAAGCTTTGGGGCGTGTTTCTGACACCAAAACAAGGTAAAATGTCCGTATAAACATGTTCAAAGGGCCATCGTTGTACCTCAACACAGCAACTCATAAATGTTCAAAATGTCTTACGCTTGCATCCGTCGGATCATTGACTGGTAGACACTTTCAAATACTCCCACGTGGTGTCGAATAGTTTCACAGGCTCCCATGACATGTTAATGAAGCGTCTCTGTATTATTAATGTCTGCTGCATAAACCAATTGTTTTAGGTGGTCCCACTGATAAAAATGCAAGGGTTTGATATCGGGGAAACGTGTAGGCCATGGAATGGGTCCTTTTCTGCCTATCCATCTTTCATAGTAGATCTCAGCCAGTGCATCGAGAACAATCTGACTAAAATGTGCTGGAGTCCTATCATGCATGAACCATATTCGCCTTTGTATTAACAGAGGTATATCCTCCAGCAGGTCTGGAAGTGTGTTCGAAATAGAGTCCCTGTAGACAGCTTATGTAAGACGTGCTGGGAGAACATATGGACCTACCTGACAGTCACCTACAATTCCAGACCCCACATCCTGATGCTGGTTTCTAACCTGCATTGTACCATGGTGATTTCGATCCGCTCACAAATATTAGTTGTGTAAATTTGTTATTTCATCTCTTCCAAATGTTGCCTCATCGTCAACAAGTGTGAAGAAACAAACAACGGATTGACAGTTTGTGCAATAAACAATCGGAAAAAGTTCTCTCGTGGTTAGTGATGAAAGGACGAAAGACCCAGCACACGTTTGAAACGCTACGGATACAGAAGCTGGTCTTGAATTACCCGCCATGCGGTACTATGAGATGTACGACATGCTAGGGCCACTTGATGTGTGCTGATAGCTGGATCGTCTCCGACAGCCTGTAGAATGCGTTCTTCGTGGTCAGGTGTACGAGCGGATCTAGGTCTTCCTCGATCCATAGTTTGTGGAGGGACGGATCCTATCTCAGCAACGCGACAATAAACAGCAGCAAACGTTGAATGACACGAGTGCCTTCGGCCTGAAAACGCAGTCTGATATAGCTCTGCAGTCTCGCATCCATTACCATTCGGGCGTCCGTATGTAAAAATCATATCTGCCTGCTCACGATATGAATATCCTGCCATTGTTAAACGAACACATCTCACTTAAATCACTACTAAACGCGTTAAACACTGAAGACAGACTAGCCACAAATGTACACGAATGACAAATGTAACCAAGTCTACATGACAACACTACCGTAAGCTTTCTTTAAACTTAATAACTTAAAAGCGAAGGATTTACAGACATATAGAGATTTGTACTTGTTTTGGTGTGATTAAGATTTCTCTAATATTTAAGTAGTATATTTCCCGGCCTCTCTACTAAGGTATGGTATGATATTTTTACGAGGGGAGCATCATACACTTACGTATACATGTAGACCAATGGAAAAAAAAAACTGCCCATTTTCCGCGATCAATGTCAAACTGGCGTCGATATGACATCGAGCACATCTTTCTTAGTGCCATGAAGAAGGTACTACCCCAGGATTCGAATCCCCGGGACCGGGTGTCTTCTCCCATCTAAAATGAGGAGAATATGTTATTCTACTTCCGAACACACGTGCCAGCTAAGTATTCAGGTCGGTAGACGAAATAAAATACTGTTGAAAATAAACGGAGGGTCTACTCAAATATGTGTATCCACTAAAAATAACCTTTAAAGTATATATATATATATATATATATATATATATATATATATATATAAATAATATAATATATAAGATATAAGATAATAATCGGGGTTCTTATAGATATTTTTATTTTTACAAAATAGTGCTCAATGTAAATTTAAAGAGCATTAATATTATAAATTAATTGATTTAAAATATGTTTTTTCGCTACACAGTTCTAACCATGTTTCAAAAATGGAAGCTAAAAGCTACGAATTTAATTTTGTAATTAAATTAAAGACATTAGTTCCATTTCATTCTCAAGCGAATTTTCTGAGATGAGGTATTGTAACTATTTCACAGTATTTCAGCCGTTGAACGTTCTGGCCTTCTTCAGGTGATTGGAATTTCGAACTAACCTCTTTATTTCGCCCACAGGGGTAAATAGTTCTAGTTCCATGTGCCATGCATCTTCTGTGTTTCTCAGTTTCAGTTATTTCCCTTTTAACTCAACTCTCCAAGTTTTTTGTTCACCTCTGCTGATGTTTCAGCGACGACATAGTTATGGATTTCGGATTAGATAAATGTGCAAAAGAAAGGTAGAATTACAGAAACAGACTCAATAGATTTAGATTTTGTCACAAAGATCAGGGAACTGGAACAAGAAGAAGCCTATAGGTACCTAGGAGTCAGCGAAGGAATACACAAATGAAGGAGGAAGTAAGAAAAGAATACTACAGACGTGTGTGCCTGATGTTAAACACCGAGTTGAATTCACAGAACAGAATATCAGCCATAAACACCTTGGCTGTACCTGTGATGCAATACAGCTTCAACATCCTTAACTGGACCATAGCTGACATTAAATGAATGCATACCAAAACGAGAAAGCTTCTCACTTGCCATCGCATGCTGATATTGATCGTCTGTATGTGCCCAGAACCTTAGGAGGTAGAGGATTAGTTCAACTCAAACTGTCTTACAAAACTACAACAATCGGCCTCCAAAGACTGGTTGATGATCTGTGTCAAAAATACGAAAGAAGTTAGAAACAGTATTCAGTAATTTTATGGGACTTTACAATGCATAAGGACAGAACAATCAAAGGTAATCGCCCAGACGTCGTTATCAGAGACCACAAAAACAAAACTAAAAACACTGTGTAGTTTTTTTTAATGATATTGCAGTCCCTGCAGACTGTAATGTATTTTTGAAGATCTTCAAAAACTATCAAAATACAAGGACCTTGAAATCGGAATCTCAAAAATGTGGCACATGAGGATATCAACAGTTCCAGTTGTAGCTGGAGCCCTCGGATTGATTGGCAAAAGGTTCTGATAGACATATTGAAGGGATTCCTGGTAGCCCAAGCCTTAAAGAAATACAAAAATTGCATTCGCTAGTACAGCTCACACATTACGAAGGGCTTTATCTATGTAAAATGTGTTTGATCTTAGTTCTTTTTTATTTTATCTTTCTATAAAATGCTCAGTGGAAAATGTCATGATGCCATTTCTGACCTTAGTTATGTGGTTGGGAGCCGGAAAGAAATGAGTATGCACCAGAAAACAAAGGGAATAATAATAATAATAATAATCTTTGAAGCAACGGTTTTGAATTATCGGACGACTGAGCTAGTCTGGTAGGCCATTACTACTGAATCCTTAATAGGAGTATCATCCCTGTGACCATGCGCTAAAACCAAGTTAAATTTAGTAGTTAACATAGTGCGTCTCGATCTGGAGTAGTAATTAACAAGATTTCTTTCTTCTTATGTGCCATGTCCTTTCAGGGCGTAGGCGATCATGGTTCTCCACCTCCCTCT